TAAACAGTGTAATGCAAGAAATGCCAAAGTGACCATTTGGATGAAAATAGCAGAAAGGAGGAAAATTTCTTATGCTATATTTTCTATGATGTGGATTGATCGATTGTTAGCTCATTAAACATATTGGTGTTGGTATTTTAGTAGAATTCTAGAAATCGTTTAAATGCACTAATGTTTCTGGCCCGCTTTTTTCTCTAGGCATAATTATAAGGTATGAACTTTACATGAGAAAAAAATTAAAACCAGCTGGGAACTTTCTTCCTCCTGAAATTCGTATTTTTCAAAGCAGTGGATGGCTCAGTCCTCAACCAATTATGGAGTCTCCTAATGAAAATGCCCTGGCTCCACCGCAGACCAGTACCACAGTCACTGATCTGGAGCCATTCACAGAGTATGAATTTTATGTGCTAGCAGTAAACATGGCGGGTAGCATATCTTCAGACTGGATATCAGGACGAACAGGAGAGGCTGGTAAGTATTGGTTTGAATTTGTTTGATACAAATAAAAGGAAAAACTAAATTAGAATGCATTTTCTTTTTTTCCCCAATAAAATTGATCTAGAGATGATTCAAATAGGGACAAATTGTCATTTTTTAACTAATTAAAGATAGGTTAGATTATCTCAGAACTTAGCACGTTAAGCAAAAACATTTTCTTCACCATAAAATCATATTGTTGAAGAAAAGAATCCCTGTCAATTAAACCAAAATTTCAAAACTACAAGATGGCAAAATCTACCAAGCAGTGTTTGAATTCTCCACTATTTTCCCAGTTGTTATTTATATGTTCTTTAAAGGGAGAAAACATGAAAAAAGATTGGTTTTGTCACAAACACATTAACAGTTGGTGTGAATCAGGAATGTTGTCCAAGAAGGTACATATATTCAGAAAGGAGGTTCAAGTGAGTTTTCCTGAACTGAGGCTTTGATTGTTTAGAAAGCAATTTTTTGAAGAACTTGAGGGGGTCACCTTTTCAGGAGTATAGTGCTTGAAACTTATCATATGCTTTTACGGAGACCAAGTGTCATAATATGGACCCTTTTTTTCAGAAGTTTAACCGGTTCACAACGGCTCTTATTATGACCCTTCTGTTCAGATTTTCAAAAGGGCTTGTCACTTGACATAATTATTTGAAATTTGTTTCAATGCTTTCATTAGAAATCTAAGTTTTTTAGGCCGATAGAGCCTATGTTTTGCAATTAAACATCTCCGTTACATCACTGATGCTTTTGTTTGCTGCTAGCTTGAAAATCACGTCCTCGGTCATTTGCTCCTGCAAAACAGCAGGCTAAACTAATTCCCCTTTCAAAATGAGTCTTTGTGCTTATCTGTTCTTAAATACTATATGTTATAAAAGTGTTAAATTGTATTTGGGAAGAGGTCCATTAGTGTGGTTGTTTGTACGTAGCAGAAGTGCTATGAGTTCGTATCCTATTATTACAGAGTAATCAGGTGGGGATTTAACTGCAGTGCAAACAATCCTTTTATAGATTTACTATGGAAGACAGGGGAACTGTTTTGTAAGAAGTGAGAGACATGTTAATTTCAAACTGGCCTAGCAAACAAAATTGCTTTTAAGATGCTGAAGTATTGAACACTTTTTGCTTTTATCAGTTTTTTCCCAGGTTGCATGAAGTTTTTCTTCGAGACTTTTTCATTTGTATGTACTTTCCTACCTGCTACAGGGGTTAGGACTTTAGTGCTGATTAGTATTTATTTGAAGACATAGGCAGAGTTTTATTCTGCATTCGTGGCCAGAGTAGAAGACAGAAGAATGATGGGTGGGGTACTTTTTATGTGCTATCAAAGTAATCTGAAAATTTGAGTTAGACTTGAAAATAAATTTAAAAAAGAAAAAAAACTGTCTGAAATGGTGTTTCAGAAAAACAGTGAGTAAGCTTGCATTACACACGTTTCTCACTTATTTCATGAATGTTGTTGTATTAATTTGATTTTAGCCCCAGTGTTCATGCCATCTCCATCAGTATTCCCTCTTTCACCATATTCCCTCAATGTGTCATGGGAAAAACCTGAAGATGATTTAGCAAGAGGAGAAGTGATGGGATACAGCATCAGTCTGATGACAGAACAAAGGTTCTTGCCACCGTTTTCCCAGGTAGTATTGTTAGTTACATTAAGTTTTTCCTAACTGGTAATAATAAAATTGATAATGTCTGACGTCCCCCTTGATGTTGTGATGAATTGTTTCCCTGATTTGCTGTATATCCTCTGATCCAACTTTTTCACCTATCAGTTTATCTTGAGTGCTCTGTAATGTTACACACTACTTTCCGGTTTTAAGTTGTATACCTGAGCTGACTTGTTTTCAGTAGTGGGCAAGATTCAAAATTAGGAGGGATGAGCTTGAGCAAGAACACTTAAATTGCTGTGATCTTTTGTCCTGGTTTCGGCTGGGATAGAGTTAATTTTCTTCCTAATAGCTGGCATAGTGCTGTGTTTTGGATTTGGCATGAGAATGAGGTGATAACACACTGATGTTTCAGTTGT